TCGGGTCCGACACCCTCATAGGTTCGGGTCCAGGAGCATCTGGGTGATTGAAATCCCCTTCTGGGGAATAGGTTGTGACAGTTGTGACTTTTTGCCCGACTTCCACAGCAAATCCACCGGAACGTGACGATCTTCAAGCGTTCGGACTCGACGGGTTGGATGATGGAGGATGATGGATGAAAGGCAGAGATTAGATTGGCTTGAAGGATCCATGCATCATATGAACACCTCACTGCGGCCTGCAACTAGATCTCCTGCAACTAGATCTCCTGCAACTAGATCTTCTGCAACTCAACTAGGAGGCCTTGGCGGGGTGTGCAGAGCTGAGGTTCTGCGTTGCTATCCAGGAGGACCAGCATTTGGTTGGCAGATGATGGTTCGCCAGGTGTCCAACACACTATACACAGAAGTCCTGCTGATAAGGGGGTTCACTGTTCTTGGGGTACACCTTATGCTATGTTAGGCACGGAGTGAAGAAGAAGTGCCGGGCCAAGACAGAAGTGGCACGGAGTGGAGCACTGGAGAACCCGCCTGATCGGACGTGGTTCGGACGACAAGGACGACGATGTCCGACGATGTGTCCAGACGACTCCCGGTGTTTTACGAGACCTGCACCATCCGACCAGACCTGGGTGTCCTGGGGCGATCCCGGAGAGCAGTGGGCGAGTCGGGGCGGCCAGCCAGGACACCCAGATGGTCAGAGGGTGGAAGGATAGTAGTTCATTGGGAGACGCTGGCCTTTTCAGCGGCCTAGCGGCCGCGGCAGGAAGACTCTTGCTTTGGCGCCGGTCATCGGACGAAGGACTGCCGTCCTTGTGGTGTAAAAGCTGCCGTCCTTGTGGTGTTCAAGCGAGGGGGTACTTGAGTCACTAGTCGAGTCTATAGTCAGCTTTTTGTTGCACTCGCAAGGTTGTGATCTGCAAACATGTTTGGCCTGGTGTCACCCACAGCCGTTAGACTGAAGACTTCTAGACTGATTCCCATGCCGCAGGAGCAGCTCGCTGCATTTGCCCATCTGCATCAACCAGGGTCTCCGTTTGGAAGGAGCAAACCATGACGTGGTCCTCGCCGTGCCCTATGATGCGCTATGGTCTTCACTCATGCCCCGCTGGGCGTTCTAGATATCTAATAGAAAAGGGTTCCAGTACCAGGGCCCCTAAGGGGTGGTTCATGGAGCTATAAATTAGACACCCCGGTACATGTCCTCACTCTCTCTCTCTCTCTGTGTTTTGTGTGTGTGTGTGTGTTTTGTGTGTGTGGGTATAGTGTAGAGGCTCTAGTTCGGCATTGGAGGACGGAACGATGGATCCGGTGCATGTCTGAAACAAACATCCTCGTCGACGTTCCATGTCCCTAGGGCTCCTGTCCCACCTCCTGAGAAAGTGGTTGGGGTGGGTGCCAGGGGGGTCTCACCACCTTCTGAGGATATGGTTGGAGCCCTAGGGTGTTTTCATGATGTCAGGAGGCTTCGGAGGACCCCTTTGATCTTGGCTGCCAGGTTGCTGGCTCAGTGGATTCGGCAGGAGGGAGGTCTTCTGGGTGATTTGCCGATCATGGCACCTTGGAGCTTCCTGACATGAGTCCATTCTGTTCATGTTTTCTGGTCAACTGGTCGGTGCCCGTACCTGAGAAGGTACTTAGATCCCTACAACATATTACAAGATGATGGAAGATGAAAGCTCGCTGGGCTCTCGCAATGGGAGCCTTGCATTATGCACATCTTGCTGTCGCGCATGTCCGAGCACATGGACCCTGTGAGAAGGTCCTTGCTCCGGGAGAAGGTCCGACCGGAGGGCCCGGTACGCTCGGATTCTTAGGGTATTACATGTACCGGATTTTTTTTTCCTTTTTTTTATTTTTTATTTTTTCCTTGACTTTCCGGGTAGGATTTCTCCCCTCAGAAGGACACATCGTGACATTCCGATACTCCCTCCAACCTTCGGCCCCATAGGCCCCTCGCCCCCCTCGTCAGTTTCAGAGCTCTGAGGCCGTGGCATGGCTTGGAGAGGGCCACCAGTTGGGTGTGGTCCATGCTCGTTGCGGCGACGATCGATGGTCCGCCGGCCGAGAATGCACCGCGCCGGGATCGACCGGTCCGCGGACCGCCACTGCGAGGGGGGGAGGATTTCCGGCGGGCCCCGTCTGCAGCGACGGGACAAAAGGGCGGTTAAGGTCGGTGGTTTGATAGGGGTTGAATTGGTTTGATTCATTCTTTATCCTCTTTGTTGTTTTTCTGTGAAGGGAGTTTATGGTTTGGGTAGGGAGACCTCCTGATGTATCACTTCACACCCAATGTGAGTCCGGGTTGAAAAGTGGTCTGTCCCGTGTTAAAATCATACATGATACAAACAAAACCAGTGGATACATGTCGATACCAGCCGTGCTCCAGCCGTGCTCCAGCCGTGCTCCAGCCGTGCTCCGGTGTCATTGGTGCTTACGTTTGGCGCGTGAAGCGCACCGTCCTGAGGATTCAATTTGCAGATTATGCCACCTGGCTCCCAGCCCGGCGCTCAACACCGTCCGACGATCAACGCGATTTGTGAGGTCTTGCCCAGCCACACATGGAAGAACCGGATCAATAACCCCGAAAAACATGAAAAGTACAGTACGTAGAAAAGCAAAAAAACACGTACATAGGGGTACTGGGGAGTCTTCGTTCATCAACCACCTCGTTGAAATTTCTTGGCTCTTCAAATTTGTGTTCGAAGTCTTAAAGGGTGCTTTTTTAAGGGTCCATACTTTCACCATTCTCAAACACCACATCGTTTGTTTAAAAGATGAGGATAGATGTGTGTTGCTTTATTGTGTTTTGTTGTCGTGGGTTTATTCCCATATAATTCCAGTTTCATCATCAAGACCCCCACGAACTGTCAGACGAGCCCTAGGCCTGTAGGTGTCCTGTGTGGGAAGTTTCTCGCCTCCAAACTCCAAACCGAGGTCATGTCTTCGAATAACGTTTGGAATGTTCGATTACTTTCCCTAGGGATCCAAGTACCTTCTCAGAAGGTGATTGAAGACACTATGTAGGCTTGGAGAGTCCAAGTACCTTCTGAGAAGGTACTTGGATCCCTAGGGTTTGGAAGAAAACATACACTCCTGCCACACATGGCATGCTTCCATGGATACGCGATGCTTCTAATGAGACTTTGAACAGCATGTTTCTGCACAAGGCCCAAAAAATATACTTCAGTAGCAACAACCAGAATGACACATCTAAGACCCATGGCATGCCAACAAAGCACATTTGACAAAGAAAATTGCCTCAACTGAAACCAACCCCCGAAATTCATGTTGGCAAAACTTGGGGAAGGCCTGTTGGAAAAACCAACAAATCCAATGACCGATTCGCCGCAACTCACAGGGTCCCACGGTCCCACTCACGACCTTGGTTTTCGCCGTAGACCGACCTTTTCCGTTTGTTCTTGGGGAGGCTTTCAAAAGGTTCTGTGAGTTGTTTGGGATATTTTTGACGAAGTGCCATGCATACCCGTCCATATATGTTCAGGCCGTTGGTGACCCTTCAAAAAAAACAAGTATTGTACAAGCACGTTCCTTTGGGAGTGATTTTAATGAATTTCATGTTCTCTCATCCGTTCGTTGGTCTGTAGATGGCTCAAGACGAAATTTAGAAAAGACATATCCGAACTTTCAACCATTTTCAACCCAAAACGACAACAACAAGATCTTCCAGAAACAGGATCTGGCCACCCAGGGTGGCCAACGGGGTCATGTTTTCCACAAAGACTGTTTGCCAACCTCGATGCAAATCGTGAATCAAAGGTGCGCGTATGATCACTGACCATTTACTCGATCCTTTTTTGACACCACATGTCGACGGAGCGTCTCAAATCAAAGGACACCATCCCAAAAGGATTCCCGCGATCCGAATTCTGAGGTGGGATTGCTGCGGGAGCTTTCGTCCAAGGCCGCAGTGTATCTGGTATATGTGGATCACGGGGGGGGGCGACTTATACATCATAAAGGAACTATGTGGATTGAAATGGAAGGTTTGTGTGTCCAAGGAACCAACGCTACATATTTATGATTGGAGGACACATCTCTTTGACTTTGATCACTCCTAGATCTATGAGGACCTGCCAGTTGTCACCAAGTTCTTTTGACATGGGTTGGATATTCTGCAAAAGATTTGAGTGTGTGTTCTTTTTTCTCTAGTTTGACAACTAAGCAGCAAGACAGATTGATCACAGCCAGGGAGCGCCCTCCCCGTTGGCAGGTGGAGCTGCAATGCATGTATTGCTTATTGAGCCGTGCAAACGGCAGTTTTGAAGATGGATCTTGGGTATGCACCAGTTGCAGGAAAGCAGCTGATGTGAAAAAAATGTACTTTCGCTGCTTTTGGGCTGTCTTCATCATGCCTTCATGTCTTTTTCCTTTCGGCCAGGACCGGTTTTTTGGGGGTAAAGAGTGAAGTTTCCAGCTGTCGAAGTGAATCGTGAAGAGACAGGTTCGGATCAGGTTGGCATATAGGCTTGCTCGCCGACCAAAGAACCAAAGCTGAACCCAGAGAGAAGGGTGGAGGATGCTTTTCCTGAAGACATTTGGGACCATGCCCATTCGCCACTGGGCGTATCAATCTCGCGCAACTGCACTGTTTATATTACTTTGATGGATAATATCACCCAAGGTGCAACAATGTTTGGGGGAAAAAACATCGAAGAGCCAGACATCCAAAATCGCTGTGAAAAGCTCGCCGCTGCGCGCCTTTGAAGTGTCCGACGAGTGTTCACTAGAGCTGGCAAGGTCTTGTAGTTCACCTGGGTCCGTTCACGTCTGATACTCTGCACCCAACAGAAATTGAGTCAAACTGCGCTTCCACTCGGCCGTTTGCCGGGGGGGCACAAGAGCCAATAGATACCACTAGATGCCAATAGCAATGGGAAGTGTTCAAACAGCTTTGCTGGAAGTGTATGCAAGTCATTCTGTTTTTGTAGCCTTTTGACCTAACTCCATCTGTGATTCGGCCTTCCTCACTCCGAGCAATGTCCTTGGCCACATCACTACTTGAGTGGCTCGTCTTTTTCTGCTAAGGGGTCAACAGCTCAATGAGCTTCCATCTACAATGCAACGCAATATTTTTTCTTTTTTAACACCAGCACAACAGTTCACTAATTGCTAGTATGTTAAATTTGGAGTCATTGTTCCGACTACCATCGCTACCATGTTTTTTTCACCACTTTCACCTACCCATTCAACTGGTGCAACAACATTTGAAAAGGCAGAGAGAAGGAACAACCACACACACAGATATACACATGACCTTCGTATCGTACCCCACCAACTAAGGAAACACGACTTTACCACTTGGGCGGATCTTCGTGCTCGCTTTCGGGCCGACTCACCGTTAGTCGCTGGAGATCTTGGCAGCAGCTGCCTCACTTACCAGCAGCTGCCTGGTAAGCCAAGCAAGCTAAGTTAGTGGCCCTCAAAGCGATTTGTTTACCCTATTATACCAACTCTCTATATAAGTTCCTCATCAAGTTCCTTAATGCCTTGGACCTCTTTCGACCGTACCACTTACTTTCATACCCTAGCCTTCCAAGACCATTTAAGATGGTTGATCTGGTTTTGTAGCGTAAAATCCTTAGTAAAACAATGGTTGTTCGAGAAGAACGGCGCCTTTTTTTTCAAAACACAATGGTGGGCCCGATCTATCCTACGGATAGACAACAAGGCTCACTCCTCATCTTTTCACCCTAGATTCACATGGAACCTGACCCTAGGGATCCAGTTGTGCCTTCTCAGAAGGTACTTGGACCCTCCAAACCTACATAACAACTCTCTCCAATCACCTTCTGAGAATGTACTTGGATCCCTAGGGTGACAATGGACCTTTGGACTGACTGGTGCTTAGTAGGGAATGAGGGAATGGATCCAATAGAATCTCTATCGGGGGCTCATTCCCTTATTCCCTACTAAGCACCAGTCAGCAATGGACCTTTGGAATACGAGTCTTTCCTGTACAGCCCCGGCGTTTTCTTTCTTTCTTTTTTTTTTCAGGTTTCAATCTGCTTAATCTCGGCATCAGGGCGTTGGTGCCGAGACATGTCCCGGATCTCTTCAGGTTCCTTACGTGGGTCGATGAAGTCCTACGCCCCAGCTTCACCTCGGCCAAGCTGTGCCCCTCCGAGCGGATCGCATCCTTGCTGCCCAATGGACCCGAGGCAGGAATCGAGGATGCTGAACAAATAGCCAGACCATCCACGGGACTGGAAGAGCTACTTGCATTAGGGTAATTTAAATGGGTAGTAAGTGAATGTATGTACGTATTGCATACATTAGATGGTCTGGGATAGACCCCCCCGGGTCACTAATACCTATAGATCTTCCAACTGTGCAACAGTGATGCCTTTTCATCTATCAAACCAGCCAAGTTCGTTCGTTAGGCAGACCTGGCTTGGCCTCGCCTCAGCTCCGATCGCAGTGCTCGACCATCTCCCAACATCTCAACTCAGCAGGCCCGAGGGCCTTTCACTCGGCCGAACCACCACGCCGAAGCAGTCAGGCTGCGATGCTGTTCTTGGGCACGGCCTTGTGTGGACTTTGCTTGGGACCACTGGATCCGCAGCTCACGCGCTCGGAACCTCGCTGGGCTGGTAGTGGCGGGGTGGAGGAAGGGGGAGAAGCGGTGGGAAGCCGACATCAACAGGGAGAAGTGGAGAGGAAGCCGTTTCGAGGTTCCGGAAAGCTGAAGTGCAAAGATGAACATTGAGAGGAAGCCAGCATGGAAAAAACTCGATTCATGTCGAATCTGGAATCTGGATTCCAAAAAGAAACACACTCTCACAAAGATGGAGTGTAATGACTGTACCTCTTGACTTCATATTCAGGGTATTGATAAGTCATGATAAGTCGTTTTTTTCAATATTCCTCACATTAAGTGCCTCCAAGTTGGACCGACCCGTTTCCTTGATCCACCGTGGTGGGGTCCTTCTTACGCTCCATGGACCGGGAAGTGGATGAAGAGTTGTCCAACCAAGCTTCTCCATGCAGCTTCTGTATATATACCGATAGACCTATAGAGCCTCCTCGTGACCTCTATTACTATTTTGGACCAGCTACTACTACCCAATGTATGGTCTATTCCATTCTAGTCCTATCAAAACAAAGGTCAAATGGGCTCTAGGTGTATATATATATATATTACAATCTTTGTCATTTGGGGCATGGTGAACTCGTTCCTTGGCCAACGACCCTCCCGGGCCTACATGGCGTACGAAAGACCAGAATTGGCTCAATACGCATTTTGCAATACCCTAGACTTCCAACCGCCATTGTTGGAAAGGGTTCACTGGGCAACCACCAACGCCCGGCACGCTTTAGACTGGTCCAAAGGAGCTGGACTTTGCTTTGCAAGACCTTCCTGCTAGTGCACTGGTGTGCCTCGTCAGACTGCATGTGCTCCCACTGCATGTGGTATGACAAAGAGGAGTTTTTGCAAAGAAGGGAATGATCAAGAACGAATCAAACCGTTCTTCGCACCTGAACCCTTGCTGATGATAAAGATGTGTGTTCCTTCATGTCAAAATGACATGTACAAACTGTAATATACCAGGACACCCGGACCAGGGTCTTCTATTGATAGCCCCTGAATTGTTGAGGGGTGTCCATATCTACCAGCCAACTCCAGTGGGTATAGAGATACTATTAGAGAACCTCTACGTTCGGTTGTGTCCAACCGCAGCATGACCCCACATCGCGCATGGGCCTCCCCACCTGAACAGGCTCGAACTGGAGCACCGAACTACGGCACCGAACCCCCTCCCCAACCGCTGCGAACGGCATGGATCATCCTCGGCATGAAGCACCATGACCCTCGGGCCCTCCAGCGCCCTCGCGCTCTCCGGCCAGGCTGGGTGACTTGAGCTCCGTGGCCCTGGCCCTGGCGGAGTTGGCCGCCCAGGAGTTGCAGCTGGAGCTCTTTCGGCTCCATCGTGGGGGCCGCTTCGAGTTCTGTTCCTTCGGCTGAAGAAACCGCCGAACCGCAAAAGTGATGTGTTTATCGCCCCAAAAAAGGGACGAGAAGAGAAGACCCCCGCAGCATGTGACCCTGATACCCAGCCCCGCGAGACTGGAAGCGGTGTTGGCTGCGGTGTGAACCTTAGTGTGGATAGACCTTCCCTCTTCGCTCCGAAACAAAGATGCTCCGAACCTTGGGGGGCTGGTCGTCCCTTGCGTCGGTCGTTTGCTTCGGAACCAGGGCCCGGTCTTCCACACGGTTCGCCCCTCTAAGCCCTTCCACAGACGTGTTGGTCTTCGAGGAAGGCGACCAGTTTGGTCTTCCAGTTTAGTTGCACTTCCGGTTCAGACCAGCACCTTCAGGCCCAGATGAATTCCTAAATCAAACACTCGAATCCAAAAGGTTATATAGTGTTAATATTATCATCTACCAGCACCCTCTAGATCCCTCAAACAGGTGTTGGTGCCATTGAAGTCATCGTAAGGACCTCAACTTGAGCTGAGTGGAATAGTGAAATCCCATCATCCTGGATGCCTCATCAAACCTACTGTGTCACCCGCAGGCTCGCCGTGCTCCACGACAGCTGGACATCCCACGCAGCCGGACACCGCGCCCCAGACAACCCTCGCTGTTCCGTGCTTGAGGGCGCAGAGTCACGAGGAGATAGGGTTTCAAGACCTCCTCCACCCATGATAGGTTGAAATCCCATGTTCTCGAATCTGTTTGTTGTCAAGTGCGTTCTGATGGTTTTTGAGTTGAAACATGTTTTTCAACCGCCAACGCAGGAGATCGTTTTGGCTTTGCACACCAGTGGAACGACCCGGCGACCAAAGTTGGTGCCACTGTCCCACGGCACTTTGTGCAGCGGAGCCTTGTGTATTGCATCCACCTTGAAGATACAGCAAGAGGATGATGGCTGGTTGGAATGTTTTGTTTTTCCTACAATGTGGGTTGGAATGTTTTGGATCATATACATGTTTCGTCATCAGGTTCTCCAAGTTGAAATCATGTTCATTCATTCATGTCACAGGTTGCTTATTAGATTGTATTAGTATTGATTATTATTTGATAATTCACATGCATGTTTGTAATATCATGTAATATCTTGGCTTAGAGGTTCAATGTCACAATGAATCAATGACCCTTGATGCTCAGCGGTCTATTTTGATCGAAGAAATCTATCCTGCGAGGATGTTGTGATGAATTGCCTTCCTCTTTTTCATATTCACGGTCTTGCGGTCAATGTCCTTGTCCCTGCAATTGCAGGGGCCATGTCTGTTTGTTTATCTGGCCCCTTTGATGCTGCCGCAGTACTGAAAAGGCTGAATACTGAGCCTCAGATCACCCTCTACTCAGCAGTTCCCACTCTTCATCAGCTCATCTTTACAGCCAAGAGTGACAATTTTCTTGGGCAAGTTGGCAACATTTTTGAGCGCTTTGAGCCATTTTGTTATGATTTTTGAGGAATGAATGAGGAAATAGATGGTTAGTAGTGATGATTTTGTGGAATGAATGAGATAGTTATGTATTCACTGTAATGATTTTGAACAATGAATGAGGTACCAGATGGTTAGTAGTTATGATTTTAAAAAATGAATGAGGTTATATGTGGTAGTCTGTTGTGATATTTTTTGTGAATAATTTGTTGAGTTTTCATACTGCTATAATTTGAGTTTAGAAAACTTCTTTGAAGTAACGTTTTTAACATTTTTGTCCCTCCCCCCAAAAAAGAACACAATCTCACCTCCCCCCACGGTCTACGTACTCTTCAAATCTCTGAACATCCATCATAGCCTACCAGCACCCTCCGACAGGTCACCAATTGAGACCAGTTAGGGTCCAACCCTCAACTAACAGCCTGGCCAGGAGGGTGCTGGTATACATGTTTGTCTTTCCAGCTGAACCCGTGCTTTCAGGAAAGCGACTTGGAGGACTCCTACCCATCTTTACGTCTCATCCGCAGTTGTTCCGCCCATCTCCCCAGCGCCCTGGCGCGGTCCCTGGCCTTGGCGCTGGACGTAGAAGTGCTGCCGACCTACGCCATGACCGAGTCCATGCCCATCGCGTCGCCCGCGCCGCACGGAGGGATGCGCGGTGGTGCCCCGCCCCGCTTCCACGGCACGCTGGGCTGGGCAGCAGGACCCGAAGTGAGGCTCCTCACGGACCCCCTCACGGACCTCCTCACTGCGGATGATGTGGGACCTATGGCCACGAGGACTTCGGAGGCAGCGACCACGACGAGCCGGACCTTGAAGCCGTTGGAGGAAGGACTCGAAGGCGAGATCTGCGTGCGCGGTGCCTGCGTGACCCGTGGCTACGAGCTAAGGCGCGACGAAGAGGATCCGAACAGGGACGCCTTCGTGGAGGGCGCCTGGTTTTTGCGGAGTAGGTGATGTTCTTTGTATTTCTTTGTAATAGTTCTCTTCCAAGAGTTTCAAAGGGGTGCCGAACTTGGAGGTTAGGGGTGCCCCTGTCACATCCACGGCCACTGGATGGGACGAGCCACGCCCCCCAACTCCATGTGACCCCTGGATTATAATATAGTTAAATCATGCTGAATCCCTGGCACCAGGGGAATATCTTTCTTTTGTCCTGGTTCCTGGACAGCCAAGGTTGGTTCAGAACGGGGGACCTGGCCAAAGTCTGCAAGGAGGGCTTGATCTTGTCGGGACGCAACAAGGAGATCATCAACAAGTCGGGTGAGAAGTTTGCGCCACTGCAGATTGAAGAGGTCTATTTACAACATCCTCTCATCAAGGACAGAAATCATGTCATGGCGTGTGATTTCTGGATCAGCTCTGCACTGTCAGGGAAGAGCTTCTAATTCTGCATGCGGGATGTTTGTGTTGTAAGTTGTTTTCACGTTCTTTTCACCCGTGGTGAAAACATGTGAAAACTATGTTCTTTTGCATCGATGTTCATTCGGTGAGTTCGGAAGCCACACCCAAACTCACTAACACCAAGCCCTAGGGGGTGGCTTTTAGACACCCATTCGCACCATGATGGTGTCCTGGTGTGAAGCTAGGACTGCGTAGCTTTTGCTGCAACGTGTGAGAAGAGGGGTGAGGCTATTGGATTGGCCATCGAGATGGGGGACCGGAGTGAAGAAGACTTGCAGCAGTGCAATCTCGATGCTTTGAGGATGTACTTCGGTCGCGTGAACATGAGGGATGGTATCGGTCAATCAAGACTATCAAACTAGATCTTGCAACTGCCAGCACCCTCCAACAGGCTGTTAGTTGAGGGTTGTTGGACCCTAACAGGTCTCAATTAGTGACCTGTCGGAGGGTGCTGGTGTGGAACACCATGTCCTGCCTCTTCATCGTCCTCAAATCTCGCACCCGTTCGTTCATGTTGCATCGTGCCGACCAACGGCCTTGGATCGAAAACGGAGGAGATGACAAGACAAGTCCAGGGCTTGTCCTTCCTTTTGTTGGGGCTTGCCCTGATCATCTGAATATGAGTTCTCTCATGTTGTGAGGGTCAAAGGGTGGTATTGGAAGGCAATTTCCATAGCCTTTCGAGCCAGTTTCATATTCTAAAATCCTCAGTAAAAACAAGTTGTTCAGGGTTCAGACCTAAATGAAATCAATGGCTTCCGCCCGCCATTTTCCGCCACCAGAAGCCTTTCTCGGCCTTTTTATACCAACACAACAAGCAGTTTTGGTGTCGATTATTGTTACTTCTGCATTGATTTTTGTCACTCCTGCATCATTTTGGCATCATGTTTTTATCCCTACAGGTCAATGACCTCGTTCTACTGGAGTCTGTCATACAAAAACACTATTGAAGGAAGTAGAAGACCAAGTTTTACTGAATCTTTGAACTTGCTGCATTTTTCTGCGTCATGTTTTCTGGTGAGACGAAAAAAACCGGACATCGTTTCAAGGTCCAGGTATATTTGTACGGTACCAAACTTGGGCCGCAAACACCTCGCCCTCCACCAGAAAACGACGATCACTCGCTCCAAGAGCTCCAACCTCGCTAGGTTTGGTCGTCGCACCCAAGAGCTACGCCTCGTGGCGTTGCCCGACTGCGTCGTTTGGATGACACGCTTGCTGCGGACCGCGACGGGGAAGAAACTCCGCGTGGGGCTGGCGGAGAAGCTGGGCCTTCCGACTTTGAGCAGCTTGGCTGAAACCGCATCCGAGAGATGTTGTTATTTTTTGGGAGCCATGTCGTGTGAGACGGATGTGGGTTTGGAAAAGCATGTCATGTGATATTCGGTGATGAAGCCCGAGTTGTTTTGACATAAAGATAGGGGGCTTTTGACCCAAGGCTTTATCCGGGTACCAGCCTCTGAGCTACCTAACAAGGGGGGTTGTCCCTTAAAATATCTTGAACTAGTCAATCCAAGTAAGAAGTGGACAACTTTCTTGTGGGGGCATGATTTGAGGGTCAGTCATGTTTTGCATTTCCTGGAATTTTATCTCTTGGCCCTTTTCCTGGGCTTATCAAATCAAGTGTCCCCTTTTGTGCCAGCCAGGGGGTGCTAAGAAAGCGAAGGGCCAAAGAAAGCATCACCAGCACCACTAGGACGCAACAACACCCAACCTTGAAAGTGCCAAAACTATGTTTTTTACACTTTCCTTGTTTCCCGATCGTCATTTGTCTGGGCCCGGGAACGTCAGGCCTTTCAAAATTATCCATGTTCATTGTTGATGTGTTGTGCAATTTTTTGGCCTGAATTTGAAACTCAGCCCATGAAATTTATCCACGTGATCTGGCTGAGAATGGGTCAATCCCCCCAAAAAACCCTGTACAGACTCCAGGTCCCAGTACAACCGGGTATCATAAAGGAATTCAGACACGCTTCAAGACGTTGACTTGAGACCTAGGTGGGGACCATGGTGAGTGGTTTGCCACCAGCGACGCGGCTCCGGGCGCCTTCCACTTCACGCTCCGTCCGGCCCAGCGCTTCGAGCGTTTCTCGCAGCGTGTGGACGTTGCGGCGGGTGCCGCCGGCATTGGTGAGGTGCTGCGCACGGTGCGCGACGTGGTGACCTGCTTTTGCGGATCAGGTGCTTGTGTTGTTTTTCCTCCAACTGGGTAAATCCTCTGGCATGGGACATAGTTATTTGTCATGCTTGTCCCGGCTTTCTGAAATCAGCCAAGTCCAAGGTGATGGAGCTTGTCCGGTGTGACTTTGAAGATGATCAGCCTCTGATGGATGTGGGCATTGATTCTCTGAGTGCCACGACGTTGATCAACAGATTGGAGATGAAGCTGGACATCAATCTGGCAGGAGATGGAAGATGCTGGAATATGCTGGGATCCCTTCAGTTGAGCCCCCTTAAGAACTGGTGTCTCCCTGACTTATACATGATTCAAGCCAGCCACGTATAGAATAATGTAAGATTCATAGACGCATCATGAAGCATCAGCACGTCTGTGGGTCTCATTGCATTGATTCCTATACATACAGAAACATATGTTGCAGTGCTTGAACGATTGGCAGTCGTACGAAACAACCCAAGTAGATTGTAAATGGATGTATCAACGCATTTTAGGCTCGTATTATACACAGTCACAATCATACACGCACCTTTTGATCCGTCCACACATGAATATCCCTGCAGGAGATGATGGTGCAGTGTCCCTCTTGGACAAGTATCCTTCTTTGCAGAAGCTAGCTGCAGCTGCTTTCCTGGCCATGCAAAAGAAGGACATTGACACTGCTTCAGCTAGGTCTACTCATAGACCAAGAATGCCATATTTTGGCCTCGGCCGACGAACAAGTCTGAAGCAATTCGTGGTCGACGCTCGGGATCCGAATTCGTTGCTCTTTGCAGCTCAACATGGTCACGCAGAACAGATCCGAAGGTCTTGCGAAGGAGTTCTTTCATCCATGTCGCCAGATGAAGAAGTGGACAAGAATGGCCTTACGGCCTTACACTATGCTGCTGGTAAGGGCGACTTGGAAATCGTGGGACTACTTTTGGAGTTGAAAGCTGGAGTGGACACCAGGAATAAGGACGGGGCTTTGAGGGCTTTGGGCCGACCATGTGAGGTTTCCGTGATGCTGCTGAACCATGGTCCAGTATAGGAAGCAAAAACATTCACCAACCAAACTCCCTCTCCAGAAATACCTCGAGCGACACATCACCACCTGCGGTTCTGATCGGTTCTCAGGACCTCCGCACCCCGTTGATGTGGGCAGCGCGCAACGGTCATGTGGACGTGTGTGAGGAGTTGGTCCGGTGCCAAGCTCCTGAGCTGAGTCGTTCCTTCCACGAATCACTCGTACTGAAAGGAAGGGGTGCCGGTCCCGAATGGAAGGAAGGGAAGTGGTGGGGTGCCCCACCATCACGTCGCATCCACTGGATGGGACGAAGGAAGCTTGGAGCTTTTTGGAGCGCTCCATCTCTTCAAAAGGAAGTAGACAAGACGGACCTCCGGCCTCCGATCTCGGGAAAACGAAACACGGGGTTGCGACGGTCACCTGAAAGGTGGGGATCCATGGGAGGAAGAACCTCCAACAAGCTGAATTCAGGGCGACATGACGCAACCTTGTAAGGGATACCAGCAGAGGTGGGTCAGAACCCTACTGGTGACAGGGTCCTATTTACGGTGACTGGCTACCTCTGTAGGCTCGGATGTCATCCAGATCTTATGAGCTCCTGGAGGTGTATGTGAGGCGGTGAATTACGGCCCTATGTGAGGCACATGGCTCATGGTTTTGTTGCATTTGTGGCCGGCACTGAAATCAGGCTGATGTGTTGGCGTCCAATAAGTTGGGCATTTGTTGTTTGCACTGGGCTGCCTGGGGTGGTTCACTGGAAGCTGTGGCGTTTCTGCTGGAGAAGGAAGCGAACATCGATGCCGCCATTGGGCCAGAAGGACCAGAAGGACCAGAAGGACCAGGACCTCACCCTAATGAAAGGACTTCACGGAATGATGGCCTCCAACCTACATTGGGATGGCCACCAACCTAAGAGCGATGGCCACCAACCTAAGAGCGATGGCCTCCAACCTACTTAGGGATGGCCTCCAAACGAGCGAAGGCCTCCAACCTTACTAGCGATGGGTTGGGTTCACTCTTCTAGAGGAGTGGTGACCCAACAATCCTTATGGGTGGGTGGAGGGTCGGTCGAGGAAGAGGGGACCATGTCTTTGGCATTCTTTCGGCCTGATTCAGCAAGCCCTGGTCCCAGTACCATCATCGCCTCCTTTGAAGTCATGTGATCGAACCACCCACCCACTCCAAACGACTCCAAACCAGTTCCACAGGTCTGATTAGTCCTTAGGTTCGGATCCGACCCCCTTGTATACGAGATGAGCGGCCCGAACCGCCAACTTGGACTCCAGCAGATTCCACTCCTTTTCCAGAGCTGACTGGTTGGTAGACCAGTCTATATAGCTGCGAGACTCAGGTCTGCCATGCCGGATGCAACGTGGCTGTGTGGGCCGCCACGGCTGGATCCTTCGACATGTGCCAATGGCTCCACCAGAAACGTGCAGATTTCGCCTCCACCAACAAGAAGCTCGTCTCATGCGGCCCCAAAACCTACTGGTACCTCTCTCAGACGCGTTAGGGAAGCGACCACCACCGGATCCCTGATTCTTTTTGCACGGGAGTCGACGTGTTCGTAGCGCAGAACATGGAATGAAAAAGTCATTAATACCAGTTGTTGTTATCGGATCATGTCCCACTTTCGAAGGTACGACCGAAGCCGGGTCAAGTGTCATTGGTCTTGGGACTGGTTCGAACCCCCTAGACCCCCTTCCACACCACACCTTGAGCCCAGGTTCCCATCGTTCCAGTTCGGGTGACTGCGAAAACCACCACAGGCACTTACCCATCTTCCAACCAACGACCAACCAACCCCGAAAGCCGAAGCTTGTGTTCTTTGCGTCGTGGCACCTCACCGCAGGTTGAAGTCGGACAGATATAAACAGATGCTCCCTGATGCTCCGTGATGCTCCATGATGACCCACGATGCTACCTGATGCTTCCTGATGTTCCATGATGCTCCCTGATGTTCCATGATGCTCCCTGATGCTCCACGATGCTTCCTGATGCTCCATGATGATGCATGATGCTTCATGATGCTCCCTGATGCTTCCTGATGCTCCATGATGATGCATGATGCTTCATGATGCTCCCTGATGCTTCCTGATGCTCCATGATGCTCCACGATGCTGCATGATGCTCCATGATGCTCCATGATGATCTATGATGCTCCTTATGCTCCATGATGCTCCTGGTCCCGAAATAGCCCGACTTCCGGTCCCCTCAAGAACCAGGGATTGGTGATCAACATCTCCGACGGACTCACCCATCCAGAGTGTTGGGTCCCATATTTCCAGTCTGGCAAAAGGGGCCGAACTCGGCCCGGGATCGTGTTTAGGGTTGTGTTCGCATGCCTCTAGTATAGGAATCCCTATAGAGAGCCAGTCATACCTTCCAAGGTTCGACCTCCTAGCCAAGATACTTTCTAGCGAAGGACCAAACGTAATCTTGGCTATCACCCTCTTGAGCTCAAACATGCTCAAGCACTCTTGCGCCTCTGCCTTCTTCTTTCGGGCTCGCGGCTCGCCCCCAGTTCCTGAGCCCCCAGGAATGGCCATGGTGTCCTAAACAAGGCCTGCTGGCGAGGACGGATTTTGCCGATTTGCGAAGCGAGCTGAGAAGTGACAGATAGCGATAGACAGTGGGGTGTGAACATGTATGGAGGTATGATATGTGGTTCAGTGTTCGAAAGTGCACATAGTGCTAGCCCGAGAGTCGACGCATGAGAACGAACATGGAGGCTTGGAGGGTCATTCTACATTCTTCATGATCACATCATATGGCTACGGCCAAAAACATAAGGTTTGGATCACTCTCACTGCAGCGCGGAACGATCCATACCAGGGTTTCTGGCCACACCCATATCAATTAATATCATATACGCGTACATGAGAGAGGGAGAGAGAGAGAGAGAGAGATGTCCCCATCCCCCTGCGACACTTTCTTCGCTCGCAGGACACAGCGTGAAGCTCATCTCTTGGATGCTGAACCTGGAAGGCGCCTGTCTGGCGCGAGCGGCGCGGCCAGGCAGGTCGCAAGATAGAACTGAGACACTCCATCATGCCAGACACCTCGATGATCTCCCTAGAGTTGATCCTAAGAGTCACTCAGAGTGCACCAGACTGGGGTACCATAGAGCACTTGACTGTCGGTACCATAGATGGCCTGACCAATGATTGGTTGGTTGATTTACACGACGGGAGACCACCGGTCGTGTACAACCTCCATACCTAGAACCTTGGTGACCTTTGTTTTGATAGTGGTTCAAAAATAGAGGTCAAATGGGTTCCAGGTAAACTGTGGTTACCAAACAACCCATATTAATAATACACTCTCTCACGGAAGTGGATGGTTTGGTCTCTTGGAAGACTACTTTCCTCTAGACTCTAGAAACAGTTTTGTTTCTTTTTTAATGTAACCATGTTAGTAAGTCCGAGTGTAGTTCCGGTACTAGTCAGCCGACATCATCCGCGGGTGCCAGGTGTTGAAGCGCAACTCTTTGAGTCTGACTGGGATGGCGAATTGCCCTTGGACAGGGCTCGTCAAAAAGGCGCGGGGTGGGTGAAAACCGTGTGTGCGTATCCGTGTGCCCGTGCTTGTGTTTGCAGGGGTTCCAACAAGGAAATGCGGATGCGTTTTGCTGTTTTCAGGGTGATTGTTTACTTTCCGAGCTGGGTGAATCCCCTAGCCTGGGCAATATGGAGATGAGAAACGATCGAATCTTCTGTAAGAGGAAATCTACTTGGTGTGATGGTCGGGGGCACTTTCTGGGTCCTGAGACCACACCAACAAGATTCGAGCTTTGTGATGTAGGCTTTGCCAGGTGTGTTCATATAACAAACCGGTCCCCAATCAGCTATGAGCTGACTACTCCGCATGAGAATTTGACAACTTTTTCTGGTATTCAAGTATGTTTGTTCCAGAAAGTGATTTGCACAATGCTGCAGAAGTGCGGCGGGCTGGGGGAAGTGTATTGTGTGTATTTTGATCAACCCATCTTTGAAAAGGATCCTTTGTGCAACCATGCCTAGAATATGCCTCTTGGAAACTCTTGGGTCGTCATGCTGCCGTACCATCAGCGGAACTTGTACCATAATTTGTGTTCTATTGAGGAACATCACCTTGAGCTTGAAACACATACACTCTGCAACGACCAGTCTGCACTGCACCATGAGGCCACTCGGCGCTTGCTGAATGGCTACGCGATGAGATGTGCGAAAGAAGACCTTCGTGGCAAGATTGCGCAAAGCAGAGCTCAGAAGAAGATCCGAAAGTGCCAGATTGCGCAAAAGGTGCTGCGTTGGATCTTTGAAATGTTCGTTCCTTCTCTTTGGCGAACCAACATCTGGACCAATGCCACAGATTCTCTATTAAAAGCAACTGCAAACCATTCGCCATGATGCTGCAGATCCGTTTTTCTTTTCGTCTCCACAAGCCAATGCTGCAGATTCGTTGCGAGTTCCGAGAGTTCCGAGAAGTATGGCTCGAAGACTTGGGGTGCTCATGGCATGCGTAGCCGGCGCTATGGACTCTGTGGCACCTGCCTGTACAGCGCTGGAGGCAGCTCGAAAACTCACTGCCCCCAAGGCGACGTTGAAGCAGCTCGAAGACCAACGGAATTGGGAGGTAAGACAAGGTTAGACAAATAAAACATAAAGACGGAAAGAGGATCACAGAATCTCACTTCAGGTGTTGTTTTTAGGGGGTTGATTCGTTCGTCTTCTTACTTCAGGTGCACTTCCTTCAGGCGTTGGTCCACTTGTTGGGGCGGAAGACCTATTTTCCACATGTGGGATGGATAGATATGTGATATAGGGACACCCCCAAGCTCCCCAACCCCTGGCTGGAATACCACCGAACGATGTCTAGAGATGGGCTGGGCCAGGGAGCCGAAGACCAAAAACACAGAAACCACACTGGTATGGGCTCAAAAGAAAGTTAGTTAGCTTGAGGTAGTTGCAGGTGAGGGTAGTTAGCTAACTACCCCGTCACCATGGGTAGTTAGCTTGAGGTAGTTGTCCCGGACCGGAACAACAAGAACTTGAGGTAGTTGCATGGAGACCAGACCATGGAGACGGGGAGGGGAACCCACCCTGCGAAAGGAAAGGAACATGGTCATCCAAGGGTCCATGTTCCATGTCAGTGAGTCGGAAGGGTATCATGATTGTGACTCGTGACTCTTGATTTATAAGCCCACCCCAACTGGATTGAAGAAACCTCTTCCTATGGGGGGTTGATGAATCAAGAGTCTACATTGCACTTTGAAGAGTTGCAACTTGTTCAGGTCTCGAAGGTTTTCTACCAGTAACAAGTGCATCGCTACGAACGTAACAAGTGCCTTACGTAGCTACGCTACGAGTAACAAGAAGGACCCAAATCGTAGCGATGCACTTGTTCCTCCGTGGCGGGTCTGAGATGGAGTCAGATCGGGCTGATCCCTGCAGCTGTTTGGCGTTTCAGGAAGAATGGGGAATTCGAGGGCGGAGACTTCTGGGAAGAGCATGAAGACTTGCTGAGATCAGCCTGGCGAGAGCGTGTGCCTTTGCATGCGGAGCTTTATGAGTATGGTCCAGCCTTTGAGAGGGAGTACCTGCATCCACAACTGCGCGATGCGGTTCAGAAGGCACGTCTGGGGCAAGAGAAGGATGCACACGAGCTCTTTGAAGAGATCATTCCAGGCTGGGCGGAGGGTGGCCAACATTTTGTTTATGAAAGAGGAGGAACACCACCACTATAGACCCTTAGCTGCTAGCATCCGCTGGCCTTCCAAGACATTCCAAGGCCATTAAAATATGAAGGTTCACCTGCTAGGACCAGGTGACCTGCTAGGACCAGGTGTCTAAAGCCCTTAGCCAAAACCATGAAATGGTGCTTCAATCCCAGACACGACCGCCATCTGGGACTGTGATAGGACGGACTGCCTTCAAAACGGCCGTGTATTCGGGGTGGTGCCAGGGGGGTCTGGCTGGGGCGGCAGTCCGAACTGCAGTCCCAGACGGGTCGTGTTTGGGAATGGTGCTTGGAATCCAAGGCAGAAAGATCTGGGCCCGAGGGGCGGACTGGACTGCACGATGATGAAACGCCCTTTTGGGTGGCACAGATCGAAGAGATAGATCAGATGCAAGTTCAGATCGAGCAGTGTTGATCAAACATTCATTCAGATGTGTGAACAACACCGTGATCTCCGGGATCTAAAATAAAAATCAGCACCACACCTCTGGAACGTCTAAACTTGCTTCGCCGGGCTTCGCCGCTGCAGCTCTCTCTGTGGTTCCGGGTTTGTATTAGAATAGGGAGACCTCCTAGGCGTTCCGACCCCGTGGAAGAAGGAACATAGACCAGTTCACACCCAATTGTTGGGGGTCTCCCTAGATTAAAATACATCCCCATTTATGTATGGAATGGTTACCTTACACGGATGGGTCACAAAATCAGGACCTGGTTATATTAAAATATATTAAAAATTCACATCCAGCCATATGTCACCCCATCTTGGACACTCACCTCTTTTTCGACTCCCGCTCACCTCCTCAATGTCCGGTCCGCACGTAGAGGATCCGGACTGGAACATGGGTTTGGATGGGGTTGGCACCTCAAAAGTCGAAGCAAACCTTAGATCAATAGCCTGCTTCCTCGCGAGCAACCAAGGATTTGACACTACAAAGCCAGATCATAGCAGATCAACATAGATCAAACCATTTTTACTGATGGTCTTGGACTTCCAGAGGTTTGGATGAGTTTGGCTCAGGGCCACAAACCGACCGATCCCTATGAATTCAGAGGCTTCGACCCCTGCGTTGAGAGAGCTTCGACGCATCATGAACGACTCTCATCATTGATATCGTCTCGCGCGTCAAGCACTGGCCCCATGGATGTGGCCTGTAGACCATCCATGTATGGAATAGTTATTACATCATCATACTACTCCATACCCCCATACACGACCCGTCTGGTACTGTCGGACTACCGCCCCAGCCAGACCCCCCTGGCACCACCCCGAATACACGGCCGTTTTGAAGGCAGTCCGTCCTGGCAGTCCCAGATGGCGGTCGTGTTTGGGTAATACATATGGATCGTTTGGACCAACGACGGACCTGTTCCCTTCTTTCAGGTGTCTTCGCGACGGACCTGCTCTTCACCGCCCAGTTCCGCGAGGAGTTCCGCCGCGAGTTGGACGCCATCAACGGTTCGGGGATTCCAACCCGAAGGCCCAACGGAATGAATCGGTCTCTTGGTGGCCCTTACCGGACTGGAAGAATGGTGTACATTTAATTGGGACACCTCCAAGAACTGGGTAGACTGGAAGATGACTTTCTTCTATCAAGGGGGTCTAAGGGGTTGGGCTCGCTCCCTCTTTTTAAGACATACATTGACCCGATCTTCAAACCATCCGAAAGTGTACTACCAAGAGAGGTTGAACAGCCCATCCGGTCGCCCATCCCATATGTACCACAGACCTTACAGGGTCCGAACGTTCTGGTCGCTCAACCTCTCAACCGGTACCCAAAAGGCTCAGAAATCAACCCAACCCGTTTGCTGCACCTTCAAGTCCGGTGACCGCCTTCAAGTCCGGTCCGCCTCGCATGGGCCCTTCCTGGATGCAACTCCGGGTGGACACCCAGTCTCAACCAGAGCGAAACGATCCAAAAACATCGATATATACCAGGACACTCGGGCTAGGGGTGTCTAGGTCCATAGCCCCGATCTAAGAGGTGATGAAAAGGGTGTCCATGAAAACCACCCCGACGTCCTAGTAATGAACAAACAGCCACTTTTTATGTAAAGAATCGCATATCATGATATATGCATGAAAATTTGCCATATGGAAACCACCAGAATCTGCTTCGGACTGGGTTTCCAGGCGTATACGCCTCACTGATGCATCCCAGTGACCTCATGTCGACAGGCAAACCCAGCATTTGTTTGTTTTCACGACCGCTCCATCGGGGTTGAAGGCGTAAAAATGGTGAGGCAAGAGACCCGACTGAGGTAGCCTTTGGATCCATCCATGAACCACAGCATCATGACATGGTGTAATCCATGAAAGAACAGCAAACAGATGTTTTTTTAGTTGAACGGAACCATCAAAAGCCGCCATGGCTTCTCATGATGAAAAGAGTCAAAAGCCATGGCTTCTCATTCCAGTACGACTGCTGTATACTATATTCCGAGGTACTTTGAGGGTCAAGGCAGATTTAAGAAGGCAAACATGTCCCAGACACGACCAATGGGACTGCCATATTTACATATACATTGGGGTGGTGCCAGAGGGGTCAATGTGGGTAAATATGCCAGTCCCATTGGTCATGTCTGGGTGTTGCAGAGTTTCAAGATCGAGGTGTGTCCGAACTGGTCCACCGACCTGTCGGTGAGTCATTCATGTGGGTAACAACTCCACCTGCGAAATCCGACTGACGCATCCTGGCACCGGACAGTCGAGACTCCGAGATGTTCAGCCCTACAAGTGCAGTCTGACCTAGTAAAACCTGTTCATGCCTGGTCTTTGTCCTCCAAACGAGTAGTGTTTGTTGTATGACCAACTCCAGTATTTCCTGACGTCGACGACTTCGAGGTCCCAAGGTCAGCCGTCGTGGGACCTGGGACTCTGTTCCCGGTCCGACGGTCCCGTTCCTCGTTTGGGTCTTCCGCACGATCGCCAAGGGGGCAGAGAAGACGATCCCCTTAGAGAACATTCCACGATCCCCGCATATGAGCAGACGCGATCATTCAGACGTTCTCAGTCGGAGGGAGCGGGTCTTCCAGCCGCGATGGGGTGATTTTGATGCGCCCCAAATCCCAGGTATGGTGTGATCCTTGATGAAGTTGGCTTCGAGAAGATGTCGCTCGTCCGTCATTCAGCTTGGCTGCACCTCTCTTTTTGACAAAAGGGGCACCTCATTCAGCTTGTTGCTTTGGGGTCACTATAGGTTTAGATGGGATGGGCGGCTGTAGACTAGCTAGTATATGACTACGCTGCCGACTGTCTAGCCCTACCCCAGCGCTCGATTTTCGACCCACACCCTGTTCTCTTAAAGATGAGGAAGCCTTTTCTCTTAAAGCCTTGCAGCCATGTGACCACTATGCAGTGCACGTGGACGATGGTGAAATGTACGAAATTCACTGGCCAAGATCAGCATGTGGAGCAAGATCAACGCCAGAAACCTTCGGTGCATGCCAGTGCGGGTCCTGACCCACATGGAGGTGTTTCAGAGACGATCCTCCGGTCACCTTCCAAGACCATTAAAACCCGGCTTTGTATGGCTTTGTAGTATAGTGTCCTATAATAGATGTCTCTAGTTAAAGAATAGTGGT